TTTCTCCTCGCGATCAATCTCCAGATTCCCGGCGGCAAGAGGAGGTCCTACTCGTCCGTCTTCTACTTCGCGGCCCAGGAGCCCATAAAGCCCAACTCGCTGCTGCACCGCTTCATCGACGGCAGCGACGCCTTCAGGAACTCCAGGTTCAAGATCGTGAACAGGGTCCTGAAGGGGCCGTGGATCGTACGGAAGACCGTGGGGAAATACGCAGCGTGCGTTCTGGGCAAAGCTCTCGAGTGCAGTTACTACAGGGGGGACGGTTACCTGGAGGTGGACGTGGATATTGGGAGCTCGGAGATCGCGAGCGCGGCGGCGCGGCGGTGTCGCTGGCGTTAGGGTTCGTGGAGGAGGTGAGGGTGGATCTGGGGTTCGTCGTGGAGGCGCAGAGCGAGGAGGAGCTGCCCGAGAGGTTGCTGGGGGCGGTCAGGATATCGCAGATGCTGATGAAATCAGCGCAGTTTGTGGAGAGTTAAAATGATGAGAGAGGGAGAGAGAGGGCGGTAAAATAAGCCTGCAAACCAAATTTTATGTACGCCTACAGTTATATGAGGTCTGACGATTGTACTATTTTTTCTATTATCAAGGATGTAGACGTATACATGCATAAGTCCCGTTTAGGAGGAAGTAAGTATTCTGTGGGGTTGACGGTCCATGACATTTAATACAAGAGGAATCGCTCATTTCTCGTCTCTCTCTATCTCTCAACCTCAAATATATGGTCATCATCTTGTGCTCCTCCAAAACACTCTCCTTACGATTTTTTTGGATGGACAAAGACTGATATTCTCTCCTCTCAAACACTACCCTTGAATCCAAGTACGCCCTATGCTGACATTAACCTATAACAATAGAAGAATATATATAGAGTAAAACTCTTATAAACTTAATTGGATATATAGGAGCCTTTTGTCTACCAACTTTTTTATCCATTGATTTTTGCATTGAGATTTGTGCTAGCATATAATATAAATGAAGACACAAATATCAAAGATAGCATTAATGTGTAGCACAAATCTCAAAGCATAATGAATGGATAAAAAGTTTAGTAAACGAGTGCTCCTATCCACTTAAACCGCTAGCCCAACTTTACTTTCCAATAGTATAAAAAACCCCTTTAGTGAAAAATGTCAAAATAAAAGCTCAAACTTGTATACCGTCCTAATTTGATTCTAGGCCGAACTAGATTAATTATTCTGTCCCCGTCTATTATTTGGGCGTGACGCTGAGAAAATAGAGCAAGGCGCATTTGTCACTGTATTTTTGTACAAGGGGGGAATTAGCCTTGCAGCTTCCACAGCATTCCTAGCTCGTACAAACACTCCTTTAGTTTTTGAAGGGCTTATTTGCACCTGGATGCTTTGTGCCACTTTGGATGGTAACTGCAGGATCTCACTTCAGAGGAAATATATATCATCCCCAGGTAAATTCTTAATTTTTCCAATTGTCTTTTGGGTAAATTGCGAAGAAAAACCCTATCTATACCAACAATTGCACTAAAGTTATCTCTTGGGGTTGACACTTTTTAGAAGGATAAACCTCAGATAACACCCCTAACAACGACAAAGCTTTATCCTGAGTTTTTGGGGGCGGCTACATGAATCCCACTCTTCTTCGAGGATTCATATTCACAGAGGTCTGACTAGATTTACGCCGCACGTTGGCCACCTGACGCAACCCTCCTCTTTCACCCTGGCTTCGCAGGCAGTGAAAAAGTTAAACAGGAAAGAACAACCCTATCCCTCGTGAATTGAGGAGAGCTAACCATTAAAGCGTTAGTCTATATCTTCTCCAGTGCAGGAGTCTCAAGTCAATGGAAGAATTTCTAAATTTCTTGGATTTTTCGTGTGTTTTGGAATTTTAGGTTCCGAGCTACTTATATAGGTCCAGCCGTCCAGAAACAATCAAAAGTGTAGGTGGTCATATTCATTATACAATTTAAATGATATAAGTTAGCAGAACACCGAATCTAAAATCACAAGGATCAGTCCAACTGATGTACTAAGGTTTATTTATATAGATCTATGAGATATGGACAATGATACGAGTGGTAAAGAATACATATTAATGTGACAGATTAAAAAATATTATTACCTTTGAAAAAATTGTTTTGGAATTATCAGTGATCATAAGTAGATATAAATAGCTCAATAAGATTCAAAAAAAAAAAAAAAAAAAATCCATAAGAGAGGAGAGAGAGGCGAGGAAAGAGTCAGTTGCCCAGCTTATGTGCAACTTTTTAAGCGCGGTCGTCTTGGCAATCTCCGGCTACATGCTCCATGTAATTGATTATTGATTACTGATCTTGATCTCTTCTTGAAATAGATCTTCTATAATGACGTTTTGATTCTCCTAGGATTGGCCCTTCATACATGTAGGATACTATTTGCCGTTTCATTGATTGTTAGACGAAGCATGTTCAATTTGGATTGAAGTTTGCTTGGCCCTTCATACATGTAGAATACTATTTGGTGTTTCATTGATTGTTAGACGAAGCATGTACAATTTGCTAAGTTTTCAGTTTTCATTTTAGTGGAGTATTACAATTTGCCTCTTAACCAATTTTAAGTGCATTTCCATTAATGCAGAGCAAGGTGTGGTTCTTTATCTCCATAATATTTAGTGTCAGATCGCTTGTGAACACGAAGCCAGGGTCTAACTGGAAGCAAAAGGCTGCGCCCTTGGTGTAAGCAAATTAAGGTTTTAAAGTACTATTACACCATTTTTATCCACTAATTAATGTCCTTGTTTATATCCAAATGAAAACTACCTGAATTTAAAGAAGAATTACCTGCAGTACTAATTTCTGTTCCAGATTTGCAGTATTGGGATTGGTACAGATCTACCGAGGTAAATTTGATCGATAATTCTTCAGTAGTCTACCGCCATCAGCTTCAGCCTTCTGCATAGTTTTCTAGAGTTCAGTAAAGTTTTTCAGGGATATACAAATTTCAAATTTTGGCAAAGAGCAGAAGAACCTGTCAACTTCGAATGTTATTCCATTTTTTTCCTGTAAATTTAGTACCCTAGAACTATTGGGGTATTTTTATCTAAGGGAAAAGCATGACAATTATTGAATGCAATTTGATTAAGAATGAAGAAACATAATATACAACCAACATGTACATTTTATGATATTGCTACGTAAAACCATCAGAAACATGTCAAATTCATTTACATCATATCAAATTTTACATAGTTAAACTCTCCACACTCTAATTGATATATACAACGGATACGTGTCCGCTCAAAACTCTCGCGGAGTTGTTCTAAATAAAGATTACAATCAGAATGCACAATTTTTTTTATTAGTAAAACCGATCACGAATTTTTGATAGAGTCTAAGAGAAAATCGACGTCTGGGGTTACCACCACACTCTTGGGGACATCGGATAGAACACAACAGTGCTTTTCTTTGACATTGATCACTGCAGCATCTTGGGCAGAGCTAAAATTCTCCCCAACTGAAACCTGTGCAAGGTTGAACTATCAGTATCAGTTTCAGTATCATTTGTGGATAGACCCCCTGTAGTGCTGTTTTGCCAGATAGACCCCTTGTACTATAGACCAATTGCGGATAGAGTCCCTAAGTGATTTTTTTAAAATTTTATTTTTATCTTTTACCCCTAGGAGGTCAATTTGTAAAAAAACAAGTTTCTCTTTCGAGGGTAAAAGAGTCAAAAAGTTCAATTAGATGTTCTATCTGCAACAATAGAACTACAGGGTGTATATCTGCAATTGGGCGATAGTACAGGGGGTTTATCCACAGTAAACCCTGTTAACAAGTAATAATCAGAGGGAAACTGGATTCTTTGTTTTACTTACATATCAAAGAGCGCATCTCCAAACTTCCCTATTAACAAGTAATAATCAGAGGGAAACTGGATTCTTTGTTTTACTTACATCAAAGAGCGCATCTCCAAACTTCATCTTAATCTTTCCACTCTTGTATACCAACATTTTTCCTATACCGCCTGATGGGAGGTCCTTCAAAGTGCATCCAGTTGGCCTACTGCCTCTCCTTGTGCTCTCTGTAGTAGCAGTGCCTGGTTTAGCCAATGGAAGAGCTGTGGGTAACTGGAAAAGGAACATCGGAGGATTTGTGCTTGTTCCCTGTCAAATATCAATATTAAATAGATTATTAGGTCCTTCTATGACTGTGATATTCTAGTAAGTAAATATATTTCCGATTGTATAATATAGAAGTGAACCATGCTTCATGAATATCTGTAGAAGTTTCGGATGATTAAACTTCATCTACATCAATAAGATTTAGATAATCCTCATTCATAGTTTCTGGAACATAAAATATCAATTTTCTTTCATCATTACATATATGACATATTCTATGAATCCATGTAGAAGGTAACTTAGCTAACTATTTGGCATGATAGGAAATGAAAAATTGCAGCCTTACATATATGATATTAAGAAACCCGATAAGAAACATTGGTGTCCTGATGAAAACCTGTTTCTAATTATTTTGCCATGAAGGAATGAAAGACATGCCTTGATAGAGTAAGGAATTTCATAATTTACATTTAGGAGAAGTTCTGCATATGAGAGATGTGAACCTTTAGACCAAGATCTTCAGCAGGGGAAACGGGCATATTATCTCTACTGGTTGAGTCCTCACCAAATTCCTCTTTGTCGAGAATTTCTGAAGCAAACAACGTGCAATTTGATTTATGGTCCTTTCAGAGATTACCTAAAAAAGCCACATAGTTATCATTTATACCAGGGTCTCCCGAATATGGCCTCCTCAATGGAAGTGTGAGAGGATAATCAGAATGAGCATAGTCCTACATGAACAACCATCAAAAACAAAATCATGCCTACATTTTGGAAGGGTATATGAAAAGGAAGTGGTAAGGTTCTGCACTCACTCACCCATGGCTCAACATATTCCTTTACTGTTGGTATTGACATAACAGAATCATCTGTAGAAAGAAGAGAAAACAATTACAAGAGAATAAAAGGAAACGTCAGAGACGAAGGATAAGAAATCAAAGGTGTACCTTCATGAATGTTTTCAGCAACTTCACTTTTAGAAATACAGAGACGAAGGATAAGAAATCAAAGGTGTACCTTCATGAATGTTTTCAGCAACTTCACTTTTAGAAATATTCAACGTTGTAACTGAACTTCTAGGATTGACCTTCATGAATGTTTTCAGCAACTTCACTTTTAGAAATATTCAACGTTGTAACTGAACTTCTAGGATTGCCAAACGACCTGGCGAGTGATGAGCTTCCATGTCCAAAGGCAACTTGAACAGGGGCAGCTGCAATCACAAGGGAGGGAGGGGGGAAAAGGAACTGTCTATCAAGAATATATTATTGCAGAACTATTAGGACAGCTAAAGGCTTCATCCAGTTATGAGAAAAGCAATATCAAGAATTGCATCCATCTCAAAATTCTCATTTCAGCACTCATTCTGAACATAGCACTGATAGTTGTATAGTCATTGAATAGATGATAAAACTTGGCGTTTCCTATTTCTCCAACATTTCCCCCCATCAGTTTCATGGGTATTCAATGATAATGAATAAAAGAGCACTAATAGAATATGATGAGAGAAGTGGATATGAAATTAAGACAAACTATATCATTTATATGTTTGAGAATCAGGGGTTTGGTGCCAAAAAATATATTATAGTAAAACACAGAATTCATCAAAGAAACAAGCACAGGTTACACTGCCTAGAACCACACAGATGTGACATTTCAAGTGGAACAAATTCATACAAATCATCGCCAAAACTTGAACATGTTTTAGTGTTTACTGCTTGACAACCGGTTAGAGACACCCTAAAGAGTTGCAATTTATAATATTAGCTTCATTGCTTCAAAAAAAAAAGGATGAGCATAGGTTATTAAATCGTCAAATAATTTTGTTCCTAAACATAGCAAATATAAACAACATCACAGACATGTATAAATACAGACAATTATGTTCACACTTACATTTTCTCTCGTCCTTAGGCTTCCTCCCGAAACTGTTTTCATTCTGCCAAGCAACCCTCCATCAGAATAAGCCATTAGAATCAAAATTCACATGAAGATGCAAATGATCAATTACCTTTGCATTGTTGAGCCTCGCTAGCAACTCCTTATTAATGCGATTGTCTTCTGGTGCCCTACACAAAGCTCAAGATACACTATAAGTTCTAAAGCAAACTAAAAGAAATTAATCTAATGAAGATGACTGCAATATGCGACAAGAAAGTACTTTTTGCTCGCAACTTTTTTTGTTAGCTTCCTCGGTGGTTTTTTCGGCGTGAATTTCTGCACATAACCACATTTCAAAAATAAAAGTTCAAAAAAGTAAAACAGGGTTATTTACCTATATATCCACAAATTAACCATCTTTGCAGGTTTGCCCCAAATTCTACCACTGTTCAAATACCAACGACTTAATTTTGGGGCATTTTAGCTCGATGTTATAGAATTGGGGTTAATTAGCAAACATCAAGTTCGATAAAAAGAAACCTAACAATAAATAAATCTATCATAAAGTTCAAAAGAATTTGTGAGCCTCACCATTTTCGGAACAGGAGCTGAAGCATCATCATCTGCTCCCCTCTTCATTTCTCAGAAATTTCCTAAATTTCCATTAAAAATATTCAAAATATTCAAAGAAATTAGGGTAAATTTCACAATAGAGAGATCATAATGAGAAGCAAACCTTGGAGCAAGGGCACTTCGATAATAGAGAGGAGAGCAGTTAAATTTGAAACCCTAATTTTATTGAGGAACAAGGAGCGATAATTTAGGGTTTTGGGGATTTCAACGGGCGGATTGAGGAAGTACCCGACTAGATCGAACATTTAAATCGGGTTTAGTATTCGGTTCTGATCTCAACGCGCGTACCCGAAACGAATTCTATAGGATCCGACCCGCTCCTGAATCTAACTGCTGCGAGAAAAGGGTAAATTTCACAAGAACCCCCCTGAGCTTTGAAGTGATTTGCACAAAGAGGCTGTGTGCTTTATAATTTAGAGAAAATGCCAAAGAACGAAGTGAAATTTTCTTCTTTCCATTGTAGTTGATCTAGAGGGTAACATGATAATTTTATAAGGAAGATTTTTTTTTTCCTTTCTAATTTTTCTTTTTGCTCTTTCTTTCTTCTAGAACATTCTAAGTTATCTCATGTCATAAAATAAGAATGGAGCCTACACAATCACATATCCATTACCTTTGGGTTAAAAGATAGAAAAGAGAAATTGATGAACCTTTAATAACAATAAATATCTTTAAATTTGAAAAATGAGGTTATACGTTAATAAACTACTGTCGATACTACCATACAAAGAGAATAGTGTGTAGGTGAGAAAATTATGGGATGAAAGAGAATATCAAGTTAAAAAATGATAATTCCTCAAAAACTATATTTTCCTCTCTTTCCAAGGCTGCTATTGAATATTCTCTCTCTTCAAATAAAATGAAAATTATTTTCTCATTGTTTATGAAATTTAAAGAACATAAAAGTGATTTATTTTTCATCACATGCATTTGCACGTGTCATATTTGTAGTGCTTTTTTGAGAAAGGATGAGATACAAACATATATATGTAATATACATATATTTTGTGAGAAAATCCCCAAAGTTTTGTGGGTGGTTTCACAAAACTTTGGAGAGAGAATAGAGTAAAATGAGAAACAAGAATAATTGGAAGAAAGTTTTGCTTTATGGTTTTGCTAAGAGAGAGTTTTACTTAAGGGTGTGTTTGACAAACATCCTAAAACTAATCCCGGACTCATTCTGGGCCAATTCTAAACTAACCTGATTTTGGTCTGAGGAGAGGTGAACCAAAACAAAAGTAGTTTTAGGGGCCAATTTTGGCATTAAAAGAAGTTTTACCCAAACATATTTTTTCTCAAAATGAGGCTTTGGTCAAACCTAGCCCCATTTTAAAGAATTGCCAAACAAGAGCTTAGATCGTATTTAATGTATATATATAAAATTCTGAAAACAGTATCGTCATGAATAGTTGCAACTTAATTTGTAGTTTGTACAGTCTTCCATTGATTTTATATCTCAAAGTGCTCAGGTATATATGGTCCGGTATCTGAATATTTAGCAAGTTCTACTCCTCATTTAAAGGAAATTCAAACTTGATCTAAGTTCATATATATATCTAAAGCTAGTTTAATGTAGAAAAATGTTGATATGTTGCTTGTTCAGGTTATCTAGTGTGTAATTAGCAAAAAAATTATGGAATGATGTGATTTTAAGCCGCGTCCTTAGGTTGGAGCCTAGGGTGTCACATTAGATTCATTTTTCCACACATATATATACTGGTTGGATTGCACGTGCAATGCACGTGGTAAAATTTTTATTATTTATTTAAAATTTAAAATTTTATTTATAAAGATTTGTTATTAAATTATGGAATGTAAGTAATGGATCAAATATATAGGCATAATCTAAACATTCAACATTTGAACAATGAAATTACATTTATTAATTGTTTGGGCGATAGTACACTGGTTACATCTATAACGTGATTGATTAATCAAATATCGTCACAAAAATATACATAGTAGTAATGTTTGATGACGTGGATGTAAGTCCAAGCTCATGGCATTCGAAGCTTGACTAAGCCTTTACAATACGTAATATGTGAGTACATATATTCACGCATGAAAATTTCACAATCCCATATAAATTCCAAAACACTCATTAAACTTTGTCTAAGGGTAGGGGATTTGAAATGTAAATGGGAGAACAATCATCAGATATAATCAAAGAATGTCAACACATCCAAATACCAATAGGTGAACACCCTTTGCTGCAAATCTCGAAATACTCTTGGATACTCAAAACATATGCAAACACAACAAGAAAATGAAATCAACACATTCAAACATTAGATAAACACATCTAATACTCTTATCAATACCATTCAGCAGCTCCAAGAACAAAACTGTAAAGTTTACTCAAGTTGTAAGCTAAAATATCTTTTTCAGTGAACTACAAATAGATACCAACAAACAACACCTGAAACTGTAAATAAAATTTCCCAAAAAAATTTAAAAAGAAAAAGAATAGGAATTTTACGGTCAAACCGTAAAATAAAGATTCAATAGGCAACTCAAGCAAATACTACACACACACACACACACACACACACACACACACACACACACACACACACACACACACACACACACACACACACACACACACACACACACACACACACACACACACACACACACACACACACACACACACACACACACACACACACACACACACACACACACACACACACACACACACACACACACACACACACACACACACACACACACACACACACACACACACACACACACACACACACACACACACACACACACACACACACACACACACACACACACACACACACACACACACACACACACACACACACACACACACACACACACACACACACACACACACACACACACACAAAATAACAAATTTATATTAGTTTCTCCTTAATCACATACATATACAAGGAATAAGATAAATCTAACAGTTATATAGAGAACTTTTTGATGTAAATGTAGGTTTGGCAAGAACATATGTGGGGTTGCTCATATTCTTTTGGGTCTCTTGCAATGTTAGATTTATTTGGCAAAATGTATTTCCACAGACATCTATTACGCAAGTAAGCTCATCAATTTTAACAAAAGAAACTGTGAAGAGGGGGACTATGATATCTTCAAAAGGAGAAATAATATACCTATGACCCGACAAGGTAAGTCGAGAAAAATGCAATTAAAGATATTGACCAAGAAAGGCAGCTCACAATACATGAGCGAGTCTAGCTCACGATTGTATATAAAACACCAAGTGTGGCAAGGCCTGTAAATTGAACAGACCTACACATAAAGTCATTAGTATTTAGCAAGTTTAGTTGATGACCAGAGTAATGTTCAGTTAAGCAGAAGAGATTGATTAAGTCAAGGCGGTAATTTTGTGGTCCGCAGGAGATGAGAGGAAAAGTTGGAGAAGCAGAAGAGATTGATTAAGTCAAGGCGGTAATTTTGTGGTCCGCAGGAGATGAGAGGAAAAGTTGGATGACTCACTTCATAGCTTCTTTGTCCAGTTGTATATGTAACCCGAGGCTCTTTTACAGTGTCTTGATGATTGAGATATTATGTTTTGTTTGTTTCATGAGATATAATCGTGGAGGGATTATATAGTAGCATGCATGATTTTTATAATTAAAGTGTGTGGGAATAACACACTATATTTGCATCAAGCAAATTCTTCTGTATCTGATGTGGGACAGACATTGTCGCAGTGGAATAGAGGCATGGCCTAATATCATGCATCAAGAATCATCGGTTGCTAAAGTTTTTGGGTCAAGGGTGTTAGAAAGATTTGAGTCAAGACTCATGATGTGGGAAGAAACACAGAGGAATGATGATATTTGTTGGAGTGCTTTCTCCAAGCTATTGAAGCAATCGAGTCTTGCACTTCTCAATGCCTACACGAGGCCAAGATTTCCTTATGGTGCTTAGGAGGTGAAGAGTCTTCTCTTAGAAGCTCTCATCTCTGATGATGCAGCTGAGTCCCAAGCTAAGAGTTTCGAACAAGCCAAACAAGATTGTAGTTAGCTAATCTCTCTTAATTTGACCCCTTTGTTTCAATTTGACCATGTTAATTATTAGGATATAAAAAAAGTATATACTAATAGAACATGACAAATACATCCAAATGATTATATAAATGATTATATGATTATCGCAACGAAAGTTGATTATTTTATCAAAAATTGATGATTGTTTGACTAAAAGTTGAAGACCAGGTGTTAAATGTCACTTCTAAACCTTAGGGAGATATTTTGTTATCTCTACAAATTATAGTAGAACTTTTGTAATTTATCCGGACAACTGGAATAGGAACAAACCTGATGAACGAAAAGGAGCTGAGGTAGTTCTTTTATCTTTGCTTTAAATTCAGCCTCTTCATCCTCATCTCTTTCCAATGAGAGGTCCCATATTCTGGAAATATAAAACAAACACGATTTAGATAGGACTACTAAAAAAAGTAAGTTCCATGACATTTTTGCTTTTTTGCCTTCTATGTAGTTGATGGTAAAGAAAATAACTTTCGTCAACTGATTACCTACAGATGAGACAACCAAAATGGATGCTTCGTGTGTGCTCCATTCTATTAATGTAATAGGTTGCTTATGGTACTCAAAGTGTGAAACAAAGGAATCATCCTACTGATGTAAATGGATGCATGTTAAGCTTTGAACTCGTGCAAAGAAATAAACATAACAAAGCAAAGTAGTTTTCCCTGTCAACAAATTACAGAGAGGATATACTGACAATCTCAACCCACCACAGCAGGTTTCATGGAACCTAATCTAAATACCGGAGCCATTAATGGGTCAACCTAATGTGATGGGTCAACCTAATCTGAAATTACTTGAACCAAATCTGAAGTGTGTATGGAAAAGGATTAAGGGGCTTGACTGAGATAAGCACTTTATACTTAATGATGAAACTGAATGGCATGTATGTTTACTGAATTGTGAATCAAGATAACATTCTAGAATTCACAGTAGTAGCATTATCTATTAACGTTTTCTCTCAAGAGTATTGGATGTTGGCTGTTCAATAATTTTAGGAACCATTCATTACAAAAGAAGATTCGAATTATTTAAACAGTTGATATATGATCAATATTATTATGTCTAAGAAAACCACTCTGAACATAGTTCCAAAGTGATAGTACTATTGGGAGGATATGCACATTAATAAAGAATTTGTAATTATCACCAGTGAACTGGATAGAAAGA